AGGGAGGGACGGGGGAGGGCTTACACAGTCATAAAATTGTAATTAGTCCATAACTTTTAGTGTAATAAAATCGGAATTTCTGAATACCACAGGGGGAAAGTTTGGCCAACCGGATCAATAGTCCTAACCCTGCTTTGGTCATAAGAAGACTCTGCACGACTAAAACTAACGGAATTGTTCGAGGAGTGGTTTTTATTTAGGTTACAACCAAAGGGTTTCTCTGCCCGAACCAAAGCGTCACTCCTCGTGGACAGATAAACAAATACTGTTGTTCATTGGATTATAAAATGGGGTTCGTCCCCCCCCCCCTCCTACCCAAACTATCAAGTCGATTCAAGTGAGACAAATAGTCCATATTATACTTGGTACTTAACATCAAAAACGGCACATATTAGCGCCAGGACAAATGCGAGAATGGCTGAACCAACAGTCGTTGTTTTTTCAGCTGAGAAACAATCTGTCTCGGTCCGTTTTTTTTACCGATTTGGGCCCGATAGGAACCGCGATCTTGTGAAACCCTCAAAACAGACCAATTGGATGTTGAGGATAGCAAAAAGTGATCCAATGGATGACAATCATCACTATTCCGTTTTTTTTCAGAGGCAATTTATCGTACATTTTGACACATGTTGGGATGTGAGTTGATGTGTGAGCGGCTTGCTGCGTCTGTAGAAGCATCCCAAACGTGTGTATACGCGAGTTCGTGCATGCATGCATGCATCCCTAACGATGTCGCTGATCATCCAAAAAGTTCGGTTCAACGACTTGGTAGAGCTAGATGCTGGATCGCCCACTCAGCCCCACAACTCCAACACAAATAATCTGTTCTCAAGTATCTGTCAGAACATTGAAATTTGAACAACTGGTTCAGTCGTCGAATGTTTGTTCAGAGGTGGATTCTAACAAAAGCGTACAGGATCAGGCAGCTTACGAGGGCAAATTGGTGAAGTCCATATATCCATGTTGTATGTGCTTGTGTAGGTGGTCGAACGTATGAGAGGATCGCAGCTGTCGGTCGGTGTGTTCAGCTGTGTCGGAGCATAACATATACAAAAGCGACATGGGTGGCGTTTATTAACCACGCGCTAATGCTAACGACCTTTTCATCGCTCGAGAATACGAATAAACTATTTGCTCCAATTTCTGTCAGAACAACAAACCCAATTCGGACAGCATGGAAACTGTAAACAAACTGTATAGGAAGAGCATACATATGCGTGGGTTGAATAGTTCACAAGTGAATCCGAACAAACAATACTTACTCGGCCACGTTCACTGATTGCGGTGAGCATAACAACCACGGTCACATTCTGTTCCCAGCACATTTGCCAAAAATCCCCATAGGTACTGGGTAATGGGCCTTGGGCAGCGATATACCGTAAGGAAAAACCGGCTTTCGGAAATTCCATCTGTTTTATAGTTCCGGTGGATAAATTTGCGTTTGGACAGGGGCAAGGGCAAGAGAGCAGTGGGATTGAGAAGTGGGCGAATGGATAAAATGTCCGAAATCAAATAGTTACACACTAAGAACACCGAAATTCGGAATAACGAATTGTCCAGTTGTAGCTCCGGGGATGACCTCTCTCTCTCTCTCTGTCTTTAATCATACACTTGATTGTATGTGATGAACAAGGGGAAGAAGCAAACACCATGGTAACGAGGATCATCTGATTGTTCAACAGAACGAGTAACGTGAACTCCGGGCCTTGCAGTGTTGGTGAACCACTTAAGGCCCCGCTGATTTAGGTATACTGCTGAGTCAAGTGACAGCAAATCTACCGACCATTTCAATTTGGAGTTGGTGGGGCTCGAACCACGCACCACACTACGACCAAAACCATGTAAGTGCTAGTAACTTAAGCCACTTGATCACCATCACCACCACCGTGGCTTGTTAAAGAGGACGAACCGGCCTTACTAAAATCATGAAATTTGACCAGAGTTTGGAACAAGAGATGACCACAAAATCACCCCGCTAATCCTTGCACAAGCGAATGTGGACTGCAATGCAGCAAATTGCTGACTGATGTATGGGTTCCAGTGGCTTTATGAGAGAGCTGCTCAGTCAGTCGATAGATGCAGATGCAGTCCACTGGGGTCCACGGCACCCTGCTAGTTGGATAGCTTTCCTATATGACCGGTATGGCAATTCGGTACAGCTCGGTACAGCAATGTTCTCATGCCATACCCCGCCTCACCGGAGGGAGAATATGTATTGGCTTCCTTCAATTTGTTATAGCTCACCTGTGAAACGGTTTGCCTAGGTACTATCAGTGATGTCTGCCTCGGAGTCTTAGAGTTGTAGACACACGTGTGTGTGCGACAGAGGACAGAACAAAACCCTATTGACCAAGTCACTCGTTTCCACGGCTAAATGCAACGCATTTCGTATGGACAGGAAAAAATGCATTGAACCACCGCAGATTCCCAACGCTGTGAAAACCGTTGTCCCAGCGAGTATGTTGAATAGGAAAAAGTGACTTGTCACGAATAAGTAGATTTCGGACATAAACAGGTCAGAGGAAATGCGGTGAAAGTGCGGGGCACACAATTTATGTTCCTTTAAATATTTTTGCGATTGGAAAACAGCTGTGTGGATGTGCGTGCGCGTGCGCTCCATCGAATGAATCGGTGATTTGCGTGTGCGGTCAAACCAACCACAATGTGTTGTGCGTTCATTGTGTCTAGAGTTTATTTTGACCCTGTCAGAGAAATACGAATCGAAGCAGTGTATACAGTAAATCCATACTATCACCATCGGCAGAGTCTATCTATCTATCTATCTATCTATCTCTCTCTCACTCTC